TGAAGAAATGTTCAAACTTTCAAAAGTGACCTATTAACAGTGTTATTAGTGAATCTTATAACAGCTTTCAGCCTTCTTTAAAATCCCCGCCAGTCATCACTGTAACTGCCGGTTCGTGTGAAATGCATTCTGGGATACTGGCTATACAGTACACTTCAGTGTGAACAGTCAGCTTGGTAATTGCAAATTAATTTATTCATTAGGTAGATAGTATGCAGTATATACTCACTAGGTATGTAATAGGAAGTACGTTAGTAGGCGGTTCAGAACACAGCTGTAGTCTTAAAGCCCAAACACTGATGAACCTGATGATGTCATAGTGATGTCATAGACACATAGACATAGTAGGGACTTTAAGCAGCGAAGGTTGAAGTGGTGGCACCTGTGAAACATTCCAACGCGTTGCCGTAGCAGCGGAAATCAAAGATCACTAAGCAACATTCAACTCTAACAACGGCTACTTCACTTCTTCAGGAAACCGAGGTCACTCTGAACGTTGCTACAATATGTCTCTTAAAATGAGAGATCTTGATATTTGCTTTAGAGACAATTTAATTTCGTCTGTTACTTCAGCACCACGGACAGCGTCTTGGTTTCATCAACATACAGCACAGTGAGGTTGTGAGCTGCAGAGGGAAGATGGAGGTTAACAACAGTTTGAACTGACATGTCTATGAATAGACTGGAAAAATCTGTCAAATTATCATGTATCTTTAACAAATATACTCATAATCTATAAAACTACTAATGGTATAATTGAATATAAACAAAATGACAGTGTCAAATATGACAAAACATATAATAACCTGCTAACTCTTTGCAAGTCTTTCTCCTGTAGTAGACAGTTGGGCTGTAACAGTAGGAAGTGTTGACATAGAATCTACATCATCACATAATGCTGTAGCCTACCCTTCAACCGCTGCTTAAAGTTCTTAATAACACAACACACAGCTGTTTGTTGTTTGAGTGTTTCATTTGTTTGAGTTTGACAGATAAAATCTGCAGAAAGGCCCCTTAACTCTGAAAGCTCTTGGGAGTTTGTGCAGGTATAACTACACACAGATGCACTATTCTACTGTGTGTGTGAGGTGTAGCAGTGCGTGCCTCCATGAATCCCTGTTTACTCTGGGTTCACAAGGCTAAATTGATATTCATGAAGAAAGAAATGAAGAAACAAAGTAACAGCAGAGTGTTTGACTCTTTGCTTTTATTCAGGTAGCAGCATCAGTCAGCACTGTCCTACTTACACACTGCAGCTCCTCCCAGCCCTGCAAAGCCACACACACATTCAGAGTCAAACACACACACATAATACACACACACACACACACACACACACACACACACACACAAACCTGCAAACCGAACAGACATCTACAATCAGAAACAGCCTATTCACTTACACACACACCTGCATGACTGCACCGAGCCCTTCTGCAGCTTTCCTGTACACAGAGCGAGAGAGAGAGAGAGAGAGAGAGAGAGAGAGAGAGAGAGAGAGAGAGGGAGATAGAGGCCTCTAGTTTCTCTACAGTATGTACTTGGGGAGCCACCATGTGCAGAACCACAGAGCAGACTGAGAGGTTGGGGCTCATTAATAATCTGATCTGTGGGGGTTCGTCCCTCCACAAGCTGCTGGTTTCACAGAACTTTATTGAGATGATCAGCTTCTACTCAAACTATATCTACTGTGTCTGAGATTCTGGAAAGAAATCTGAGGGAAACACATCTTAAAAATTGTGACATTTAGCATGACAAAACAATCCCAAGTCAAGGTCCACTTGCTTGATTTTTTTTTTTTTTTTCAGATATTTCAACTGGATCATGGATTTATGTGAATTCTATTTTTTGGGGAGGAGGTTATGTGAGACTGATCTGGATCACTTCTGGAAGAGGTTTTTGAGACACATTCTAACCTTGATGTTTTGTAAACACATACAATCAGCCACTTGTCCTCCCGGTGAACGGAAGAAAGACGCTTCAGTGACTTCAACACATACGATCACACACACTGAGCTGCTCTAGTGTCATGGTTCATCGCTCAGTGTGAGTGAAGCAGCACGAGTGTGATCCCGTAAAGACCACACAGCTTTTCTTCTACTCGTCCGTTCATAAAGTTCATCATTGCTAAAGTGCTATAACTAAAACCAATAAAGTGCATGTGGACAGGGAAGACCCAGGCACCTGGGTTTACCTGGATTTTTAGTTTAATCTTTCACTTCCAATAATATTCCTGTCAGAAATCACAGTGAGATGAACACAATTTACATTCTTCATATTCATATTTGAAAGTACTCTCGGTAAATTCTGTTGTTGTCTGTATTGTATTCATACATCATGACTTTGCCCAGTAACTAGTTTTAATGTTTTCATTCTATATTTAATTGTCATTAACATACATCGTGCACATCGACGTAGATACTCAGTGATACAGCAGTGGCTTTATATTTTTATCAGTATAATATTATAGTCACAGTCTACTTTATTTTTCTGTTTCTTTTGTTTGTTTAATTTTACTCTCAAAACAAACTGAATTTAAGTTGTTTTTTTGTCAACAGTATTTTTACCTGGACTGAAAATAACTAAAATGGAATGGAATTTTGAGTTGGATTGTTCTTTTTTGGTTTTGTGACTTTAGGATTTGGGATGATTTGTTGAACATCTTAAAATATTTTTTTTGCGGTAAAAAAAAATGTGTTTGTGTTCTTTGTGGGGCTTGAACAATCGTTCAATGTGTGTGTGCATTCTTTGTGTAGTTTGACATAATCATTTTAAAAGGGAGAAAAACTATGGACAAAACTAAACTTGACCTGGCTGACACCTTGATCAAAACAAAACTTCATCAGCAAATCAGAACATAAAAAGTCAAACTGTCACAGTCTCTCCAGAGAACTGGAAAGAGATTTCCCAGCTGTTTTGACTATGACCCGGCAGATGTTTGGCAGATGTTTAGCAGATGTTTGGTTGGCTGGTACAAACACTGACACTGGGTTTGAACATAGAGAAGTTATTACAAAACAGTTAGTTCCGACCAAGTAAATTGATTGGACAAGAGTCATTCCATGAGTGCTGATATAGAGTACAACAGCACTGGGACTTTTAACTACATGTATTACTCCACTGTACAGGTGTTCTATTAACTTTTAATTAGCGTTACATTAACGGTAGTTATCTATCTTAGACTCTAACAAACTTTGCAAAGATGAAAATATTTCCAGAAATAACATTTGAATTAAATGATGTCTGGTCGTCAGGAGAGGGTGAAGGAAGAAGCCTGGATACTGCAGCGCACACCTGAGGCAATTTGTAGACAAAGTAGCAAGCTAGTGTGCCGGTCAGGGAAATGTTTGTGTGTTGCTTAGCAACAGTCCAGTACAAGTCCAGTTGTGGAACTATTTGTGTTGTCGTAGCCAAATAAATGATGAAATAAACAAACAAATCATAATCTGTTGTTGCTCATTACTGTTCACTAATACGGTTAGTTTTAGTCTGATACTGAGTACAGCATCACGACCTCGAGTGTGACATTGCTTAATTAGCTTGATTTTCCAACGTTATCACAATATCAGACTATGAGCTGCAGCATCGTTCACACACACTGTTTACTGGCCACCTGCATAAAACTAGAGACCAGAGAGAGAGAGAGAGAGAGAGAGAGAGAGAGAGAGAGAGAGAGAGAGAGAGAGACTGTGGCTCTCTGGCTCTGGCCAGTAAGTTGGTTCATGTTGAGAGTTGAAACCTGTCCTCCACAGTTCTCCTCCAGGAGACACTCTGACTGACTCTCCCTGCTCCATCATTAGGACTGTAAACACACTGATAGATAACACTGATTGTTGGACAGAAAAGTAAACAGTGATTGGTGCTTCACCACATGCTGCTCGTGTGTGGTGGGCTGGTAGCTTAACAAACCGACAGGACTTCCAGCAGGTGTGTGTGCAGAGCGTCAGGCGTCCATTTAAAATAGAGAGAAAAAAGCCCACTGCACTAGCTTCTGTCAGATTCTGTAATCGTAATAAAACACTGGAAACACTGGCTAGTAGCACGCTCAGGCTAACATAGAGATACCCTGAATATCAACCGTGTGGACGACCTCCGGCTCTCCTTGCACTTCACTTCCCTTGTCATTCTAGGAAGAGGATTTATTCTGATCTTCATCAGCTATGAGACAAATTCGACAGCAGCAGACGGCTGGCTGACTGGCTGCTCGCCTCGATATCTGAGTGTGTGTCACTCGTCACAATGAGATTTTCAAAATCAGTGTGGACATGTTTACCGCTTTGTCTTATCTTGCTGCTTGCTGACAATTTGCATTTGAGTCGGGGTGCGCTGTCAGTCAAACTGCAGCTGCTTTTTGTTACGTTGTGGCACTTGGAAGGCATCTCTCTCTGCAGCGTGCAAACACAATGTAAAGCCCACGACGCTTCACATCTTCAGCTCTCAAGCTTTTTGCTAAGCGCCGGCCTGAAGGAACACACACACAGTTACACTTTCCATCTGTCTGCATGTACACACACACACACACATACACACACACACACACACACACACACACACACACACACACACACACACACACACACACACACACACACACACACACACACACACACACGCATACATACATAATGTTACATGTAGCCCACAACTTTGTCACTGGTCTTACAAATATGGCAAGGCATTGAACGTCTTCATTTCCTTTGCCTGTTGTCTGACAGATTCCACAGATGGAGGTCAGGGGCCACACAGCTGGGGCCCATGTCCGGCAGTCACTCATGTCATCTTTCACAGCTTTAAGATCCTGGATCATCTCTTCTATCCACAGCAGTGAAGTCCCATATCGAGGGTCAAAAGTTCTAACAAAGTCCGAGAGACTCGAGTCTCAAAGTATCCTGATGGCCTCATGTGGGCCGTCTGTTTCATGTGCCCTCCACCCCCCCCTCCACAGCCTGTGGAGTGTGTCAGTAGTTCAGCACCGGGGGTGAGAGAGTGTGCAGTGGTAGCTAGCTGTTGTTCTCGGCCGTCATGTACTTGAGGGCGGCGAAGCCGTAGCGCCGCGACATGTTCTGTTGGAACTCCTCCTTCAGGGTCTTGAGACAGACCCGGTACTGCTTATTGGAGCGGAACTTGGTGATGTCGAAGCTGGGCGCATGAGGCATGTGGATCATGTAGGCGTTGGGCAGAACCACAAACTCGTACTCCTGCAGAGAGAAAAGAGTGAGAGGAAGTTTCAGTCTCCACAGCTGAGTAATATTGCCATACAGCCTCTTGATTACAACTAGGGCTGCTGCGATCACGCTGTTTGCTGCCGATACGATATGATCATTTTTGGCATGCATTGCAGATGGCAAGACACCCTTGGTTCAGTACACTCAGGGGTTTTGTTGCTGTTGTCCCACTTGGTCTCATATGGTAGTTAACATTAGCTTGGCTTTGTAATGTCAGTTGGCATTATGGAGATATTGCATTCACAAGGCCAAAACCTCTTTTTGTGAGTTCACCGTGACCTTGACCTTTGACCACCAAAATCTAATCAGTTTATCCTTGAGTCCTAGTGAATGTTTGTGCCGAATTTTAAGAAATTCTGTCAATGCATTACTGATATATTGTGTCCGCGAGAATGAGACAGACGGACAGACAAGCCTCCGGCTCTGACTGTGGCCAGGTGGAGGCATACATTTTTTTTATTTTTATTTATTTATTGTCTTTTTAATGAATAATAAAAAAAAATGTATAAAAAAACCCAAAAAAACACAACCTCGTTTAGTAATCAGGTTAATCTTATTTTAATGAGCTTAATAAATGTTCTAGATAATTAAAAGTTTTATTTATAGACAAATAAGACTTTTATTCTGAAACAAGGATCAGTTCAGACTGGTACCTAAATAAGAGATAGATAAAGTGGAGGTGAGTCAGTTACCTGAGCATCCAGTTCCATGATGTGAGCCACCTTGTTCCAGCCGAAGCCCACAAAGCGGCGGTCGTACTCAGGACTGTCCCTCCTCACCATGACGTAGGGCTCAAAGTCCGCCTCCCACTGCACCCTGTAGGGTGTGGTGGCAGTCCGCCATTTGGCAAAGTTAGTTGGTGCGTGGCCTTTAGTCCACACATGATACCTAGCAGGAGAAGAAAGAAAAGGTTCTCATCAAGCTACGCTGGAGGGAGATTGAACTCTGCTGTCTCGGCAAGTCTGGGAGGATGTGTGATTTACAGCTTCTAAATTATTTGGAGTCATTTCAGTTACAAACCTTTGTCTGTATCATATAAGCTCTTAAAAACAGACTTTATTAGGGAAACCTGGTTGTTTTCTCCACTAAAAGTGTTCACCCAGCAAAAACTACAAGAGAAAAACAAATTCCACCCACTACTCAGGCACAAAAAATGACACAAATTTTTTTATAGTTAGGGATAATTAGTATAATTTTCTCAAAAATGGCTTGACATGAAATTCTTTCGCCATTTTGATCTGAAAAATACCTACTTTCCTAAAATGCCTACTAACGTAAACTCAAAACAAATTAGTCTGAGGTGTTTCATCTGATTCTCATGAACTTTGGTCTACATCGTCTACAGGCAATAGTAACAAAAAGTTATCAAAAGAATTTCATTTTCTCAATTCGTTTTGAAATTATTAACTTTTAACTTTGGCCAAAAATGGCTACTGTTATTGTAACCAAACACTGTGCACGCCTGCGGACCTTAGCTCCTACCACTGTTATAGTTCACACGATCTAAGTCATTACTCAGCCCAGGCATAACATTTGGTAATGATTGATTAAAATGGGTGTGACTTAATACAAAAAATATAAATTTCTAATTATTCCACCTTCCAAACTTCAAATCACAATAAATCACCCGTATGTCCTACAGAGCTGACATTTTTTCAGCAAATCCACTAAATGGTGATGAAAGCTTGCTTCACTGTACCCTATGGTCAATTCAGAAGTCTGTCACTCAATAATTTTCAAAATATGTAAAGTAAGTCACCTTCTCTGGGCATACAAACCCCAGATGACGTGAGTCATGCTCCAGTCCTGTTTAAGCTAAAATTCAACAGCAATTCATACATATGCTTGTGAGCTGCTTGGACCCTGATACTTGCTGCTTGTTGCTATATTTTAAAAAGTGTTTGTTTACCTGACACTGCAGTTTGTTTCTCTTGTTCTGTCTGTGCCACCATAACACCCACCAAGGTAAAAGAGGTATTTACTGACAGCAAATTGTAGGCAGGCGGAGCACAGCGAGTGTGACTGAAGGGAGTGTGACTGCCTGTAAGGGCTGCACTCATGAGAAAAGTAAACACCCCTTTTCTCCAACCTTACAGAAAAATATTACCAGCACGTAGCTGAATCAAATCCACAGTGTGTGGTGTAGGAGTTGCTCTGTGTGCACTGTCACACATTGTGATAAAGACAACAATAAAAACAACCCTGCTGTAGCTGCTGTTCATCATGACATATAGTTCTGATTATTGACCCATCACACTTACAATAAAGTACAGTAAAAATCTTAGTAAAGGGTCTGTTCACTCAAATAAATAAGCATAAATAATATACTAAATAATACACAAAATAAATACTTCACTCCAGCCATAGTTGGTTTTACTTGACTGTATGCATGGTGAACATCTGGGTGTCTCAAAACCTAGACTAATTAAACTGGAACTTATTTGGCTGCAAATAATGAATTATTTTTACTACTGCTGTGTGAGAAATTATGAAAATTTTCTGATGATACATTGACCATTTACATGTCATAAATGAGGATTCACACAGAAGTAACAACTGTGTGACTGGCTGATCAATGTTGGAGATCAGTTGGTTTTGTATTCATCCATACATCGGGGACAATTGCAGTCATTTCCTGATTATCTCTCCCCAACTTTCAGGTATAATTAATAGACTGTTTTAGTAATAATGATATGTGTAATGAAAGTACTTCATTTGCTGTAATGGAGGCGAGGCTCAGTGTATTGGAAGCGCTCCTGCTCTTCACTCCTCTTCCCAGCAGCCCTGGAAACCAGAGCAGCTCAGTGGACTGTGGCTCAGACCTCTGCTGACCAGTGGTGGAAATATCATCAGTCAGTCAGTCAGTCAGTCAGTCAGTGAAACAGAGAAGATAAGATTTGTGTTTAAAGTTTCTTTTCGAATCAGTTTCAATTAAATTGTTAACATGGTTTTGCATTTGCTTATTTTTCAAAGTGTGAAGTTTTCAGACTCAAATTTGTAACTACCCATCATTGGAATTGCTTTTCTCAATTATTATCTGATGTTTGTGCTTTATCTGTTGGTAGTGACAGTGATTCTCAGTCCTGCTTGCTACATAGCTAACGTTTCACAGCATTAATAGCAGTTTACTAACCAGTCTAGAAGAAACATTTTGAGTTCAGCATCAAACTTCTTAACTCACCAACAGCTGTCTCCAGAGGTGGAAAGAAAAACTTTTGTTTTGCTTCTTTTTCTATTACTTCTTTTCTTCTACTGAAGTTAGCATGCTAACCAGCTAGCTCCAGCAACTTTCCGATACTGAGTCACTGTAGTATCCAGTCTGCCCTGAAGAAGTAGCTGCTCAGATGGCAAAATTCTAACCTCCTGTAAATACATTGATGGCTGAAGACTAGTAAGTCTCTATCTATAGATAGATAGATAGATGCTTTATTTATCCCCTAGGACAGGGGTCAGCAATCCGCGGCTCTGGAGCCCTTCTGCAGTGGCTCCCTCTAGCCTTGAAAAAAATAAAACAATATGAAAATAAATAATTTCTTTTAAAGAGAACACCTCATATTTTGGAGCTCAAGGTGATACTGATAGTATTTCATCGACTAAAATATACGTCACATCTTACAACTAACATCTTACATGTTTTCAACGTTTATAGCCAACTGCCTCTTCCTGCCGGAAGATAGGTGGCTAGTCTTGAGTTTCGGACCCCTGGTAAGCTAACCATGGATAAATCCAAGAAAAGAAAAGTCTCAGAGGAAAATAGAGAGTTTAATTCTGAATGTTTCAACAGTTGAATGCTGTACTTGGCTGAGGATAAAAACAGAAGAGGATGATGGCACACTGAAATGGACTTGAGTCATAATTAAATACAAACTGACTTTACTCTTCTTAAAGCTATTAGGCTGCAGCTATATGTTTTATTTATTTTAAAGTGGGTTACTTTTTATTTTTTTAATCCTTCACAAATAAGAAAATGACTCAAATAGACCTGCATAGTTCTGTGTTTTATTTAAAAGCAGGCGTACACATGTCAGTGTTTTTTTCTCCTATTCATAAGAGTTTGGTGTTTCAATTTGTTATAACAGGTAAAAACAGCATTAAAATATCAACAGTTTTTTTTGTAGTTCTATAATTTCAGAAAGATTTTATATATAGTATAACTACACTGTTGCCCATAAAGTTGGAATAATTTTGTTTTCAGACACAATCCTCTGTTTATTCCTATTTAAATGCATCAGTAATCACTTTGTAAGAGATTGACTACTAAAGTTTTGAGAAGATATACATTTTATCTGTGAAGAATAAATCACATTGTCACAATCATTTCATGGAAAGAGGTAAAAAATATTTTATTCCAACTTTATGAGCAACAGTGTATATACAGTATAAAACTTTAACGCTGTGTTATCTTCATTTTAAGGGTCGAACAGGTTTTGCGGCTTCAGATGATTTTCATTTGTGTGAGAGGGGCCAAAAATGGCTCTTTAAATAATAAAGGTTGCAGACCCCTGCCCTAGGGGAACTTCATGAACAGCTGTTAATGCTAACATTGTGCCCTGTAGCAACAGCAAAACTTACAAAGTAGAGGTCTGAATAAATGAATGAAACAAAAGACGAATCAATACTACAGACCATCTTGTGATGGAATCACACGTAACCCCCGTCACCATGATGACATTCAGTACTGAGTAGTACAACACTATTACATGAGTACTCAATTGGATCTGAACAGACCCACCTACGAACTTGGCCTTCACTTTGACCTCAACTACACACCTGTAAAGTTTCATGACTGTATCTTTGCAGGTTGTGATGCAATCGCAGTGACAAACTGTCCACAGGCAGACAGACAGAGAGACATATAAACACCTACCAAAGTTCTAAAAAAAAACACCTCTGTGGTAGTTCCCGCTACAGTAGGTGTCTCCAGGGCCGCAAGTTGCCAGGCTCACAAGGTGAAAACAATACTGGCCCCACTCGTCACGGCTGGTAATTACTAATTTATGCAACTTTTTTGAATGAAAACCTTGTTGGCTACAGAAACAGAGCAGTTGTTTACCTGAAGGTGAAGAGTGTCCCCATGTCTAGCTGAGAGAGCAGCTCAGCCTTGGATTTTGGGTAGGACAGGCGATATCGCAGCGTCTCAAAGGCTGGAACCACCAGAGCTTTCTTGGTGTTGGCCATATCTAGCTGCACCACTGACTTCCTAAAAACACCCACAGATTCTTAAGTTATTACTAAAGCAGTGTGATTGCATGTGCAAGAGTTAAGAACAAATGATGATGAATTAACAACACACTCAAAATGTCAGATAACACGACCAGCATGTCTGGTTGTCATCGGTTCTCCTCTTACCTGAGATACTCGTAGAGGCCATACATGGGCAGGAAGTCGATGTCCGATAGAAACATGTAGGGTGTGTTGACCTGCCGCATGGCCACGTTACGCAGGAGGTTGACTGGGTAGAACTGTCCCTCTTTGTAGACGATGTGGTAACCTACATTCCCACGGCTCATCAGCACCTCGGAACCCTGAGCGTAGCGCAGGAACTGCTGGGCCTCGGCATCGGACAGGTACAGGGCCAGGCTGATGGGGCCCTCCCAGTGCTTACAGATGGCCTCCAACATTTGGAGCCTGCAGAGGATAGGACAGAGGGATCTGTGACATCACAAAAATGTAGTACTATTCTACTACTCTTTTCCATTTCTGTTCTTTTTTTGGGGGGGATGAGGGATAATTTGTGCATAATGACAGCATAAAAAGATAAGATAATAACAAAAAAAACTACTTGTGAGGAGGTACCTGAAAATTTTAGATAAACTATACTAAAGACATATTTTGTCAACATAGTGGATGGAGTGGTGGAATAACTGGACATCATAGTGATCTAGTCGGTTTGTAGGGACAGACTGGAGACTGGAGAGGTAGAGGAAGCTGTACATACACTATACAATACCAATAAGCTTCTGAATACACACATTAAATAACAAAACGGTGCAGTGTGTCCTTCTGAGATGTGCCCTGGTGGCTGAAGTTTATTCTTCTTGAAAGTCTGGAAGATTTTAAAGTGTTGAGCCTGTGACTGTTTCCAGCTGTGGTTTGTTTCTTTGTGACTTTAAAGAAGCAACTATTACAATTAGCCATTGATGCCCACAGCTTTAATTGCTTTTTGTGAAGATATGGAATAATGAATTACTCAGCCTTGGACTTGATATGCAAATAGAAATTTGTTTAATATTTGTTACATTAAAAGAAATCTAGAGAAAGCTTTGTCTTTGGGGGAGACTTGGCTTTTCTTTGAAGAGCCAGGCTTTAAAAACTGCTCCGGTCAGACTGACTGTTCAGTGTCACACATTCTGAATAGGCGACAGACGTGAAGTAAAGTGTTGATGCGAGGAAGCAAATTCATAGATGTTATTGTTTTTCACTTGACTGAGTCAGGTGTAGTTTAGTATTTCATTTGGAAGCTTCAGTGCCTTGATTTGTAAAACCAAGCTTTGTCAAACTGTCTAACTCTGCAATGCGTCTCACTACAGTGACATTTCATTTGGTATGCTATGTGAAGGTGCGGCTGTCTTATTTGCTCAGTGTCTCACACTATTTTGGATCTGGAATGCCAGTGTTTCCCTCCACTGAGCCACCGTGGGCCTCATTAAACCAAGACAAAGTCTAAAGGCAGCTCGCAGCCTCCAGAGGCAGCTGTGTTTATTATACATACTCCACAATAATATATTGCTGAGCAGAAGACACAACAAACTGACAATATTAAAAAAGAGCTAAAATGATGTTCGCCCTGAGGGTGATTTAAAACATGGTTTAAATCAAAAGGTGTATTCCCCTGAGGCATGATTGTACAAATTCTCTGACAATGTACTTGATTAATACACAGTGGATAATTATTTTTTGTGGAAGGTTTACATTGTGTGGCACAGTATGAAGGCCTGCGGGATGTCTATAATGAAAAGAGTTCATCCTCAAAGGAACTAGTTCATTTCCAACATACTGATGGAGCTTTGCAGGGGATCATCAAAATTATTTGCAATCATCCTCAACCATGTGGAAAATGTGACATTTTTGTTGGTTTCATGTTTGAATTTGAGGAAAGTTACATTCCATAGGGATGAGCAATAAGGAGACGACCTTCAATAAGGTAGGAGTTAAATGTCCCCAATGGGAAATTGGGGTTACAGCAACGACATGGAATGAATACTGGCAAAACATTAGGATGAAAAAACACATGACAACATGTACAGAATTACATCTCAATCACCTTAATATAGCCAGAATTACCTCCTTGTGGTTGTCTGGCTCCTCCACTCACACAAGTTTCAAATTACATCCGTTTTTATCCAGAATCATATAAAATATGAACAATTTGTGTGACATTTTGTCATAATAGCTGAGTGAAACCATGAGTAATGGCTAAAAAGTGTTTTGTGAGGACACACTGACCTTTGACCACCAAAGTCAAAACTGTCCACCCTTGAGTCCAAGTGGACATTTGTGGCAAATGTGTGAAGTGTTTCCTTTGAGGAGTTCTGGAAATATTGCATTCTCAAGGCCAAAATCATGTTTTGTGAGGTCACGGTGACCTTTGACTTTTTGCCACCAAAATCTAATCAGTTCATCCTTGAGTCCAAGTGAATGTTTGTGCCAAATTTGAAGAAGTTCTTTCAATGCGTTGCTGAGATATCGTGTCCAAGAGAACTGGATGAACATATGTACGTATGTACGGACGACCTAAAAAACAACATGCCTCTGGCTCTGGTTGTTGCTGGCATGGAGGAATAAAAACACATCTGCAGAACAATCTGTCTGCGTTTGTTTTCTTTTTCATTGCAGGAATTTCTCTCCACTCTGACTTCAATAACTGCAGAGATCCCTGAGCTTACTCAACCTGCAGCCTAGCTCACAGTCTTGTTGGTGGAAATGCTCCACGTCTTGAGGCTTTATTCTTTGAGTTCACTATCCTTAAGGCAGAAAGAGCTCAGACAGAGCAAACAGAGGACTTTCAGACCTGTACCATCGCCAGCCATATTAAACCACCTGGAAACAAAGTTGTTTGTTCAGTTAGAAACTATTCTGCTCACTCTGACAAATTAATCTTAATTAATTCTGCTGGTAATCTCAAAATTCAAGCATCATCTTTAATGGTGGAGAAAAGTGAGAAAAGCAATAAACTGTCATATATATATACTGTATATAATATATACATATAAATTTAATTATAATTAAGTGCTTCAGTTGGAGAGACTGATATTATCTAACAACATATTAACATTAGAAAGACTCTCAATGACCTATAAGATTTAAAATAAATGCATAGAGCTGCTTACAATTTGCAGTGTCTCATGAACTGGCATAAGAGGATGTGCACAACAGGGAGGGTGGGGGGTGGGGTAGGCTGGGTTAATGTGATTTACTGAGACATTGAACCACGGGGCAAGTTCATGGAATCACCACACTCAGTGGATTAGCTGGCAGAGGCTTAGAAAATTGACACTGTGCTACTTTTGTGTGAAATTCCACTTTGGTGACCTCTGGTCAACAGCAGGCCGTCATCACAGTGGAGTCTTCAGTGACCATAATGGAGCAAGCTCTCATATTATGCTGTGTGCAGTGGTTATAATACTTTATAATTACTTTAAGCTTTATAATTCAGATGAAGATTTTACATTCAAAATATGAATTATATATATACAGTATATATATATATATATATATATATATATATAAAATATCTTATATTATTATATTATTTTATATTGTATTGTTACTGATTAAACTAGTGGTTCCCAACATTCTTGGTGTGTGAGATGTTAGTTCAACCTTTTCCGGTTTCTATTTCCTGTTTCCTATTAGTTTCTCCTTTAACTTCTCACATGGGTTTCAACTCAGAGAGATAAAATTATCCATCCATCCATTATCTTCCGCTTATCCAGGGTAGGGCCGCTGTGGCAACAGGCTAAGCAGGAGACCCCAGACATCCCTTTCTATGGCAATACTCTCCAGTTCCTCCTGGGGGATCCCGAGGCTTTCCTAGGCCAGATGGGATATGTAATCCCTCCAGAGAGTTCTGGGTCTCCTCCCAGTTGGACATGCCCAGAAAACCTCCAAAGGGAGGCGCCCAGGAGGTATCCCTATTGCCCGAGCCACCTCAAATAGCTCCTTTTGACGCAAAGGAGCAGTGACTCTATTCCCAGCTCCCTCCGGATGTCCGAGGTCCTCACCATATCTCTAAGCCCAGCCACCTTACGGAGGAAAACGTTTTCAGCCGCTTGCATCTGCGATCTTATACTTTCAGTTCCTACCCAGAGCTCATGAGCATAGGTGAGGGTTGGAATGAAGATCAACTGGTAAATCCAGAGCTTTGCCATCTGGCTCATTTCCCCTTTCACTAAAATGGTCAGGTACAACGCTTGCATTACTGCTGATGCAGCCCCGACCCGCCGATCATTCTCCCGCTCCATCTTATCCTAACCAGTGAACAAGACCCCCGAGACACTTGAACTCCTTCATTTGGGGCAGTAACTCATCCCCAACTTGGAGGAAGCAGTCCAGCGTTTTCCGACTCAACCATGGCCTGCTGACTCTCATTCCGGATGAGATGAGGGTCAAACAACTGGATTGGGAACCATTAAATTAAAGTAAAGTAAAAGTAAGTGAAGCTTTTTGAATTATCTGAATAAAAATGCTAAAATATGGTCTTTATTTATGTTCACTGATAACACTCAAACCATTGTGTTGTTCTTATCCATTGTGCGTAGGTTGGAAACAGTGTGTGAACCCCTTGGCTAATGACATTAACAAAAGCTAACTGGAGCCAGGAGCTATGAGACCTTGAGTCCAGTCATTAAAACCAGATTGGAGGTTTAGAGGGTTAGAGACACTCTGAGTTTGTTATTTACAGGAAAAATCAGCTGATGTGAACCAGGCCTCGTAAGAAATGAGATCTCAGAATGATTAAGAGGTGTTGATTAGCATAAAGCTGAAAGGGTTACAGAGTCATCTCAGTCCACAGTCAGACAAACTGAATATAAACACAGATGATTTCATTCTGTGGCTACTCTCCAGCAGAGTTGACTCCAAACACAGAATGATCAGTGAGGTAAAAAAAGATCTCCAGACTAACAGCCAGTGGCGCTGGCAGCTGTAATCCTGTACGTGCTGTGTGAGATCCTGTCTTATTTTTTGGCTGCATTCACTCACTAATGTTATGAGTCCAGATTGAAGAAGAGAGCAGGAGATAGAGGAGGAGTTTGGTGCTTTGATGTTGACACTGCAGATGTGGAGCACTGATGAACATCCATAATGAAATTGCATTGATATGGAGGCCGTTCTGTAAGAGTTTGATGTAACGTTCAGACACAGAATGAACTTCAAACAGGAAGAAATACTATTTCATTTTATTGTCTCATGAGGCTTTTTGATTATTTTAGAAGCTTGCTGTCTTGCTGTTGTGTATCGTTTAGTAGTTAGTTAGACAATATGTTCTTATGATGATGCTGCTTAATGAGGGAATCTGTTGCTTAATGTCGACTCTTACTGCCTGTTTCTCGGGGATATTCAATATAGTATATAATAGTATATTGTAGCTTGTTAATCAGCTGGCTAATCAGTTTTATAGTAGTGTTGTGTCATAACATTAGTGCTAAAATACATGAATCAATCTCTCTCTCTCTCTTGCTCACTCACTCGTTTAATGAGTGGACATATGTGCGTGTGTGGGAAACCTAAAGGTAGCCTATACACAGACATACACTTCTTGTGAGTACTATGAAATCATAATCCTGCTGGCACCACTGGCCAGGGGTTAAAGTGGGCCAGAACAATCCAGAGTCTGGATCCAGCACCTTCGAATAATAAGTGAATAAATCTACATAAGGGCTGAGCAGAGAGCAAGAGAGATGAGCAGACATGCATGCACACACACATACGCACACACACACACACACACACACACACATACGCACGCACACACACAGGCAGGAGAAACAAGATCATCACGCAAGGCGATGGTCCTTTCAACTTCATTGCAGAAGAAGTGAAGACTCCCCGTTTATCCAGGAACACATAAAACGCTCTACGTTATAAATGAATGAGGTCATTATAAAGATCAGACACTGAGCAGAGCAGATACTGATGATACTTTACATATATTTAACATATATTTTGCTTTGAATGTAGGACTTGTATTTTTACATTGTGAGATCTGAGTACTTCTCGCACAGACTATGTGTCACTATCTTGTTTCATCATCATATCATGCAGCCCTAAAGTAGTCACTAAGTTACCAGACTTCTGTGCCGCTTTCTGATGCGACAGCACTAAAGTTCTTTACTGGTGAAAGTAATGAACGAAATAAAACAAGCGGTTTCTGAGAATAAATGACTGTTTGAACTGAGCCTAAAGTATGATTCCAGTTCAGGTTCAAACGTCTGCTGGGAAAACATGGAATCACTCCAATAACTCAAACCTGTTCTGAGAGGACAAAGAGAAGGAGGTGGTAGATACATGTAACTACTGAATATATGGATCTTTCAGATTTAGGAAGAATTGGATGTTCACATGAACACAATACTCACTGCAAAAAAAAATGCTTACAATCCCCCTGCTCACTGCTAACAACGAAACAAACTGCAAAATTAGCATATAGATAGCAGAGTGACGATGGCAGATTGATGTTTGATGGTAAAATCCCTGGATTTATTCTGTATCTTCAAACCTAACATAATGCTCTTTATTAAATCTACCAGTGGGGTGTCTCCAATCCACTAAAAGCTCAACATTGTATGGCTCATCAGATACTGCAGATCTGTCAATAAGCCCCATTGTGTCTCAGCATGGTGTTAGGAGAACGCTGACAACCATTCTGCTTCATCGTTTATAAATGACCCCCATCACATGAAATATAAACCTGATTAGTCGCCTGTGTACATTTTAAGCCAGGATTCTCTGAGGGCTTTCATGTGTGTGCATGTGCATGGAGAAGACTGTAGACGAGGAAAGTAAGAATGGATGCAGAGAATACATTCAACACGACTGGTAAAAGCAGCACAACGGAGAACAAACTGATTCCTAGTCATCCGCACCTCTTCCTCTATGCTCTACACAGGCTTGTCATTGGGAATAAAGACATACACTTCACACTGTCAAATTTCTCCTTGACATTATTTTTTTGTAACTAGTTGAGCAGTCACCTTTGAAGACGGTGGATGTATTTGTGTCATGAATAATAGAACAGAGTTGCAGATTGAGGGAAGCGACTGCTATCAGAAGTTTTTTTTTTTACCCGCTGTAAATTCTCATTTCAGAGTTTTCTTTCAGTGATTTCTTCCGATACACAGAGACACAGAGACACAGAAACACAGAAACACAGGAGTCTCATGGAAAATTAAAAGATTCTGTAAACAAGGTTTTAAACAAGAATTTAGCAGCAAACAACTATTTTCTATGTAAAGATATCGTGGAGTAATGGTGTCCTGGGCAGAGAACGAAGCCACACCCACTCTGTGTGTGTTGTAATATGAATCTCTCTGGTCTTTGTTGTTGCTGTTGGTTTGGTCGTGCTTGCATTTTTAGTCTGTGTATATGTGCATGTTAGTCCCTCCTGTTATACCATTGGTCCTCCCCACATTTATAAACGCCCACAGGTGAGATGGCACAGTGCAGTACAAGTGTTCAGGTGAAAGTGACCTGCAAGAATTTCTTCTACTGAAAAAGAAACCATGTTTTCATCTAAAAAGGCCTCAGACAAAGGAAGAGATGAGACCAGAACACAGGTGGACTGGTCATGAGGACTACAGGCTCAAATTCCGGTCAGCTGGGGGACCATCAACACATCCAGAAAGTTTTTGCTGGCTCCGTCAGTGTCTTTACCGGCTGTATCAGTGTCTTTACTGGCTGCGTCAGTATCTTGCTCCGTCAGTATCTAGCTCCATCAGTGTCTAGCTCCGTCAGTGTCTTTACCGTCTCCATTAGTATCTGTACTGGCTGCGTCAGTGTCTATATAGTCTCGATCAGTGTCTTTACTGGCTGCATCAGTGTCTATACCATCTACGTGAGTGTCTATACATCTCTGTCAGTGTCTTTACCCGCTCCATCAGTGTCATTCCTGCGACCGCGATCAGTCCAAGGCTGAATTTCTGTCCCAGTCCGACCGTGGAGCCAATACTGGTCTGGTTTAACTGAGATGGAGAACCCTATGAGCTGCTAAACGGTCCAGGCTGACTCAGAACTGTCTTTTCTTCCCCTCAATGTGTAAGTAACTTGATGCTACATGCTCTGTTTTCATTAGTGAACAGCTGCATTAGGCATGATAAAATTAGCTAACTTGCTGTTACCAATATGAATTTGTTAGGCAAATGTTGCTATCGCTAGCTGGCTTACTGTTAGCATTGCCATGGAGCATATCACTAGCGGAGGACGGAGGTGTGGCCAATGAAGCATGGTCTAGTACGATATCTAGTGGCAGTGACAATTGTTTAAAGAACCTTTAACCATGTTAAACCATCACTGTGAATTATCTCTACTTTCTGACAAATCTTTTTTCATTAGTTTGGAATGGTTGATGGCTCTAATTACTACAACAGCCCTGAGGCTTGGCTGCTGTTATTATGGAGATGAAGCCAGTCAGAGGTACGGATCAGAACTTGAATGGTTTGTCATTGCAATAGTTCTTGAATTATTCCAAAGTGACCCAGAGTCTGAAAGTGAACCTGTTTTTAACAAGTAAAGCACACAAAGAACAGAATTTTAAGGTCTGGGTGTCATAGGTGACATTTCTTTCAGTTTATCTACCCAGACTTGTAGCTGTGACATTATATCAAGAAGAATATGAAAGCACACACAGTTCTTCATCTCTTGTACTGATAATTTAACCAAGACAGTTTCATGTTCACCTTTCATGTTCTTTCACTTGAATGTCCAAAAGTCCAAAAGTCTGAGACAGACTCTGTCTAAGAGTCTCAGACTCTAAGACTTTTGGATGTCACTTAATGTAGAAAATATATGGAAGTTTAACTTCAGGAACACGGGATGCCCAAAATAATGACTGCATCTACAGAATGTGCAGAGGCCTGCCTACTTTAACACTTGTGTAACAGTTTCATACAAGGGTGTTTCAGAGAGTTTTCTATATATATATATGTTAATGTATGTAAGAGCAGAGTATTGTTGCTGTAGGTGTAGAACAGTACCTGTCCATAGAGAGCTGGGCGACTAGAGTGACGTCAGTGTTGTCAGAGCTGGGTTCATACTCATAGTGGAGGAAGTAGAGGTGTGTTCGATGGACGGTGAATCGTTCTCGACGAAACTCGTAACAAGGATCATCTTCATCGAGCTCTGACAGAGTCTTCTGGAGCTGCAGACAGAGAGGAGAAGAAGCCAACAGTGAGACGGTGCTCGGATCAGAGGGAAACCCCTGAAGATGCTGTTGTTGGCTTGAGTTGCTGCATCAGCATTGTGGAGTATTATCTACACCGTGATAAAAACTGAGCTAAATCAGTAACCTCATTAATCACTTCTCACATACCAGACTCTACCAGAGATACTATTATGTTTTTATGTGGTGCTGGGTTAATTAAACAATTGTTAAATCTCATTTGCACGGAATTGAGTCTTCAGACTGCACTGCTGTTACAGAATAAGGGAGGTCTGTATGTGACATCAAACACCTTCAGCCATGTGGCACATCACTGCCCCTAGAGTTAGACTTTTTCATGTTACTTGTTTTGTATACATCAGCAGCCAGAAGTTGCATCACATCAAAGATCACCAGCTGTTCATGAGTGCAAATACTAAATCACTGGACAACCCCTTTAAAACTGTGCTCAGATAAAAATAGTTGCATCACATGGAAAGGCCAGACTTGTGGTGTGAGGTCAGCAGTAACAGAGTGAAGGTTAGAAACAGATCACCCCTGATCACACATTCTGAGTTTTTCTGATCACTGGTTATGGTTTGATTTGGTTTTGGCACAAAAAACTACTTCACAATAACCTTTGTGATGATTTAGGTTAAGGTTCTTGGTCATGGCAAAAAGAAAAAAAAAACATTTTTTTGAAAGTGAGAGAGTGAAGTCCATCGATTTCCCGGGGGTTCACTTCAATGAATTCCTGAAGATTAAGGTCCATATCGATGAGTTGATGAAAAATTGTCTAAATATGTTGGTTTAAATTAAGGCATTTTGTACCACTTCTAACTTCTAGACTTCTAACCTTCTAATCAGTTCTTATTTGCACTTCATATAAATGACAATGCCAATTTCTATCTTAGTTATCTTGAGAAACTACAGATTCTACAGAAAAAACTCAGTTAACACAGTTAACGCTGCCACTGACCCTCTGCAACACTGTTACAGCTTTTGAAGCTTACTGGAAGCGGTATCTGTCACACTGCTTGTATTGTGTAAAATGTTGTATTTAAGCTAAATGTGTAAACTAAATGTAAACTCTGTGACTTTCTTCGAATTTAAATTCCCTCACATACATACAAGACTAGAAAAATGCTTCTTATAAAGGGAAAGAAACGTCAACTTAAATGTAGAGTTGTAGTGTGGTGTGCAGAGGTCCACAGGTGTGAATTAGCCTGATAACACAGTAAAATGTGACTATGTCTGTTTTTTAAAAAGAACTTAAAGCAGCAGTTGCTACTAAAATATGTTTAATGAGGAAATATGTTCTTAAGCTTATTGGGGTTTCCCATTTTTGCACTTTGCTATTATCATATTTGGATGCTTTTACTTGAATCATTTTCTGATTAATGTGAAAGTAGAATCACCTCCTTGTGGGTGTCTGGCTCCTCCACTCGGACTAGTTTCAGGTTACATCCCTGTTTATCCTGAGTCACATACAATATGAACTGTTTGTGAGAAATGTTTTGCATAATTGCTGTGAAGTCTTTAGTTATGGCTAAAAAGTGTTTTGTAAGCTCACACTGACTTTCACCTTTGACCTTTGACCACCAAAGTCTAATCAGTTCATCCTTGAGTCCAAGTGAATGTTTTTACTAAATGTGAAGAAAGTCCCTCAAGTTGTTACAGAGATATCGCGTTCACGAGAATCGGACGGACGGACAACCTGAAAACAAGATGCCTCCGGCTCTGACAGTCACCAGAGCGGAAACATATAAAATTGATGATGGTGATGGTGATGATGATGATGATGATGATGATGATGATGAATCTCCTTATACATTTTTACAGGGGGTACCATAACAACATGCTATTTCAACCTTGCTCACAACAGTCATACTGCTTGCGTTGGGCTAGAGGTCTTTGTCAGTTAAATGTACATGTATCATATTGAGGAGTTGAATGAACAGCTGACTCAGTTGTTTTTCACCAGAGAACTTCCCCTGTCCATATCTACGTATGTTCTGAATCAGTGGGTTGGTTATGCTGGAGCAGCACAGGGGCTTTTCTGTGTGTCAGTCTGACACTGCACACCACAGAGCCAGGACTAATCCCACATAAGTCAATTTGGCACCAAGCTGTTACAATGTTATGCAAATAAAATGCAGTTTTCCATTTAATTTCTCCTGATTAGCTCTTGTCAACTTTCTGATGGAATGTCACACATCAACAGTGATGAAGGATTTGCTGGGGCCTTTGGCACAGCGTGCGCAAACTGTAAAAGTGATATGTTAATAAAGAAACACATCAACCAGTGTGACTGGACGTCAGCATTGTGTTCCCAGGTCTATCTAACTTGATTTAAATTCAAGTGAAGATGAGCTCAACGCACTGGAATCGCTGCGGCTCAACGAAGCACAGTCGAGCTGTGCTGTGGGGAAAAGGGAGAGAGGCGGCTGAAGGGCTGTCAGCAGAGGACTCGGTGTGTGGCGTCGCTCTGCTTTCAACAGTGTGATTAGCGGAGTTGCAGTGAGTGACTGGGCTGCAGTGGCACTGTGGCCTGAAGGAGCCCGGTCTGCAATGTGCTGCTGGAGCCAATCCCTCAGTGACTTCATTAGTCTAATCATCACTTTAATGGGATTTAAATCACTGCTCAAACTCTGAAAAATTGAGTGAGCAAACTATTTCCTGAGTTAAGGACACATTAGAATTGACTGTTAGCAAAAAAGAGTCTGGCATATCATGATGGAAAATTATAATGTGATTAACTGACCACAGAGCTGACACTTAAAATAACTTTATAGCCCACAGAGGCTGGTCCTGGAAAAACCTGACTCCTGACCATGGTGACCTCCAGCAGGATAGAAGCTGAAGGTCACCTGCAGAGTCTGGACAGTATGTTAAACACCACCTCTAAAGTTAAAGTTATAATCTGAAACTTGTGGTAATGGTAACAATTCCCATGATCCCATGCTATTTTATGACATCACCCAACGCCATCTTTTATGTTATGTTTTGACTGAGAGACCCCTAGAGGCAGAAGTTACAGACTGTGTGTTTAAGTGTTTCTAGCTGTTCTTAATGGTCCAGCTCTCTCTACGAATCCTTCAGTCTTTTATGTCTCCTGTCACCTCAATATGATAAATTGCATAAATTGCAATAACAACACACAATTTCAGACACTCTCTGTTCAAAGACATTCACGACATTCACTCCTGCTGTACAAAGAACCGTGTGTCAACATCCTAATCTAATGTGCATACATTTGAACGAACCCCAAAATTAAACCAGACGTGGGCTGTCAGCGGTGCATATGAGCTATTGAGGCGTCCATCTGTTCAGTCCACGCTGACACGGAGTGACAGTGGTAGGGCCGTCACTGTCCCCAGGAGCAGCTGTTCTTTCATCAGCACAGCCACTGACGAGCAGCCAGACAAACAGGCTTCACCAGGATGATTGATATAGAACTTCAACTGACAACTCAATGATAAAAGAACACGTACGACCACTCTTTGAGTAGTTTGACAACAAAAATGTTTCAAAAAAATCAAAGGTGAGGCACACCAGAATCTGATCATCTCCCCCAAAGAAAAGAAACATCAGTCTCCTTCTAATTAACCCAATTAATTTATTAATTAGAAAACATTCATTATACCAACAAATGTGTCTGTGGATGCTACATACCTGCTATCAGTTTGAACTTGTCAGTCAAATCTTAATCAATTACAGTTGTGCTAATCTCATCATTTACTCCATGTATCTGCAGCGTATATACCAGGTGTGTTCACATTGTAAATGTTCACATGTTGTGTCTATAGACTCACAGATGCCAGCACGATGACATGATGTCCCACATAACTTCTACCATAGTGCTGAGACATTTAGTTTTTTAGCAGCTCGGTGTGGAACACACCACTGCAATGTCGGTCTTTTAGTGGACTGATCACTTTAGACCAAAATATCGTGACAATTAATGGATGATTTTCCATGATGTTTTCTGCAGACAGCCGTGGTCCCCAGAAGATGAATTTTCTAGAATTTATAGATCACCTGTCGTTTATGTAGAACTGTTTTTTTTTTTTTATTATTCTTTTTGGCATTTTTGCCTTTAATTCAATAGTTGCAGTGAGAGAGAGACAGGAAAGTCCGGGAGAGAGAAGGAGTCCTGTGGTTAGGACTAAGCCTTCATGGTACGTGCTGTACCAGGTAATTCACTGGGGCGCCCCCACTATTGTCAAAATTTGAATTTATTCAATACACTGGCGTGACCAAATACCTGCAGTATTAATGTATAATATCAGCCTCAGCTGTACCTTGTTTCACTGCTGGAAACTGGGGTTAACAACAAAACAGCAGCCTATTTCTTTAAATTTTGATTTGTAGTTCGTGCTGGATTTTAATACTATTCAATATCAATAGTATCCAGATACATTGGAAATTTGAAGGTAAAAAAAAAAACCTGACCTTTGCTGACCAATCACAGTTATATGTGATCTATGATCAGTTGTTCCAATGTTTGAGGAGGCTCATGACAGCTACAGCATAGCCCAACCCACTGACCACACAGCCATAAAACCCCATTCAGTCTTGTTACTTACTAAGTGTGTTGTTTGCCTACAGTGGATCTAGTGTTCATGTGCCACAACATTACAGTAAATAGGAGATCAATAGACAACATGCTTCAATAGTGTAGCAGAAAAAAAAGGTGTAAAACATGTAGGTGGTGGAGGGTAACAAAGTGTCTCATTTGCAGAACTGACATGTTAGTAGAAACAGAATGGACGTATTCTTCCTGACATCACCCACAGGTTTCTGAAGCGCAGATTTGAAGCTTAGAGTGGGCTGCTCCACCATCGCCATCTTTGCAGTGCCTGACTATGCCCCCAACTCCCAGCTAATCCAAAAATGGGCAAAGAGGAGGGGTCTGTGTGGAGCTGAGACCTCGGTGCATGTCGGTTGGAGTCCGACTGTAGCGGCCATTAGAGGAACTGCAGTTTTTGGTTTCAGCCTCGGAGGTTGATACTTGCTCTAACCACACTTCTTATCAGATAATGGCAGTTTTTCACAGTGTGGAGTCTACATTACCTGCCAATAGTTAATTAAGGTTGTTTGTTTAGTTCCATATAGAAAATGGTATAGTTTTTTCCATATACCAATAAGCAGCACAAACAAATGCATAAATAACTTCATAAATCTAGGATTCAAGGGTGCTCTGGCAAGACTGAAGACAGTCTCTAGAAGTGTTTGGCTCTGCTGCAGCCGTCTACTACAAATTTACCACCAACCCTCATCTCTTCAGCACTGAATAAACACCACAAGCAGAAACACAGAATCCATTCCACCTACGTTCTCACTGTTGTGGTCGGCCTCGCTGGGACAGCCGAACAGCTCTCGCCGCAGCAGGTTGCCATCGTACTCCAGAAAGGTCAGATAGAGGTTACGGAAAAACTCGACATGCTTGTTCTTCACTCGCAGCTTCTTGGGAGAGTTCCAGTGGATCACCTGTTCAGAGGAACCACAGTGGAGCAGTGAAAAAGGGTTAACAGGTTAGTGTTGAATGCTAGTGTTTTGTTGTAACGCACCCAACAGTGAATTGGTTGCATTCCACCAAATAATCAAGTGTCTGGTCCTGGGATTTCAGCCACTGTCATACTAAAGACTCATTTGGCTCATTTGTAATTTAAAAATGAAAAGAAACATTAATCTGTTATTTGTTTCATAACCAAAATGGAAAAAAAATCTTTGGTGTCACAATTAAAAAACAATCAAAATGGACCGTTTTTGGTTTTTGGCAATTCCTTTTATCATTATCAAGTTTCGAGTACATAGAAAGGCAAAATCACGCTGTAGTAGTGTTTAAAAAAAAAAACAAAAAACGGCTCTGGTCAACCTCCACTGACTTAAACACTATACCCTGGCCCCAGGAAACAGACTCCACATGAGAAACATAGAATCTGATTAACCATTCCCTCCCCTACCAGACTATCACACCAAACTGCAATGAGGATTTTATTACAAAAAACAGTTCATACATTTCGCACATAGGTCATAGGTCACACAGTAGGGACACATTAGGCCAAACATTCCACCCCAGTAGAGACAAGGAATTGGTGTCTATCTAGTGCAAGAAAGGAAAAACCTCAGTCTGGCACAACAAAGAAAAACCCAAAATGCACTCAGTGTTTCACTAAGTCAGTTCACTTGAGCGGGTGAATCCAGTGATAAAGCACGATTACAACAAGATCTTTTCAATTAGCAATCTTCTAATCTCATTGATTAGCTGACTTTAAAGCATAAATGATAGAAAATCTTACTACCTCACAATATTTTCAGCAGAATAACATGTTGTCCAAATACTTACAAAATGAATGTACTACCTCTCCTAGTGAATGTTTCTGCCAACTTTGGGCTCCCTTAAGGGATATGGAGATATCGCATTCAAGGCCAAAAATTGAATTTTGTGAGGTCACCATGACCTTGACCTTTGACCTTTTACCACCAAAATCTAATGAGTTCATCCTTGAGTCCAAGTGATTGTTTGTGCCAAATTTAAAGAAGTTCCGTCAAGGTCGTACTGAGATATTGTGTTAACAAGAGCCGTCGTCGGCACGGAGGCATCAGAGAAAAATTTAACTCATGTCTCGGGGGCCCCTTATTGATCGGAGGCCCGGGGCTCAAGCCCAGGTATGCATATGCATTAAGTGGCCACTGGTTACACCTCAACTGCTCAACGTTAACTCCTCTCACTGTTTACACTGCCAAAACTACCACTTTATCACCTCTACTCCCACAGAAACACAGTTAAAGCGCCACAGACTCACATTTGAAACACTGCTTCAAATGCTTCAAATGCAGTTTTTCACGGAAGCCAGCAAATAACTATTTTCTATGTTATGTAAACTGTCCTTGTGTTTTAAGACCCCTTGGTAACAAAAGTTGTCACACTGCAGTAGCCTGAATCCATAGATCACTTTTCATGCAGAATAAGAACCAAGTCCTGAGCAAAGTTTCTGATTTGATTATTTGATTTACATCTTGTTTTTTTTTTATTGAGGTCAAACCCTGGATTGAAGGGTTATAGTCTTGTCCAGTTATTTTACTGCAGGGAAACTAAATATAAAAGCATCATATGTGGGTGTTCAACAAAAATTTGGAGGAAAGGCTGTTTGACGAGTGGGCACAAAACAATATCCAGCTATATCTTTGAAGTTAGTCCACACATGTGTGGTGTGTATACATGCTGTTATCATTGTCCACAGACTGAGAACTACTGACAGGCTCAGACAGCTCTTCACAAACAGCCTGCCTTTTCAAGGTTAACAAAATCCATAAAAGGCCTAAAAGTAGAAGCACGTGTACGTCACAGAGTGCGGCTGGCCTGAGACTGATTAATGCAGGTCAGGTCTTGTATGTCTGAAGTGACTGAGTGGATGCACAGTGGGGACAGCAGGGTCTCACCTTGAGGTCTGAAACGTCTTTGTAGCACTTCTCAGAGCGTGTGTGATCGGACAGCTGGACGTTCCAGAAGCACGGCAGCTGGTGAACCAGGAAAGGGTTCTGTTTGATCACAGCGTTGAATATGTCCTGCACGCACGCACACGCACACACACACACAGACAAAAAACACACACTGAGCGTTATGATTTGCCTTATGTTTCATCATCTACAGGCCTGTGCCGCACAGTTTAATCTGACCCTGCTACAGTTTATTTGATGTCCACATGAAGCTGTATTTAATCGCACCCTGCTGTTCGCATGGATCTGTGACTACAGACCAATTTAAACAGCACAGTAAAATAATGTGTCAATAACAAACACTTTTTCAAATTACCATACAGTATATCTAACATGTTTTTCCATTGTACTTCTGTATAAGCAGCTGTTGCAGACTTGTGTGCAACAAACACAAGGTGACAAGTCTTTAGTTTGGTAGTTTGGTAGCAGACTGGAGGGTCAGAGGTCATTTTTCCTCTGCCACCTGAAATATTTGATTGACATTGATTAACCTGTTCGACCTGTTGCTCTGCTTTTAATAAGAAGTAACGTTATGTCTCTGAAGAATCAATAATGAGATATGACGTTATCAGTTCTCGGCAGAAACAGATTTATGGACTAAATCCATCCACAATCCACAGAGAATGAGACAAGGAGTAGTGACAAAAAAAAAGCCGAGACAAACTACAAAAACATGCAGGAATGTAACATTATCATGTGCTGTGAATGTGGATCTAGTATTAATGTTATTAACTGTCAGTCGACTATCTCAGGTGGTGCTATCAGGAGAAATGAGTAAATTCCAGTATGAACGTCAGGAGTTAAACATCTAAATCTTCCTCTAGATGTGTGGATCTGATGTTTCAGCTCTTCCCCTCAAACTAAACCCAGACAATGAAGATTATTTTGGCGAATCAGCTTCTGAATGAGTCGCTGCTCCGCAGTGTCGCACACTGGGGGCTGTGCTAATGTCATAACACAGAGAAGTTCTTAATCATTGATTTACTTCCCTCAGAGCAGAGCGACATGGGTATTGTGTGTGAACAAGTAACCAGTGTCATTTCCATTGACCTCACGACTGAGCTCACCACCAGACAGGAGCCAATACAGAGGTAGAAAAATCATACATACACTAATGGTTATGTGTGTGGCTCAAGTATCTTGTTGTAAGCCCAAAGCAGAAAGTGAAATATTACCCATGTAGCTACTAATATCAGCCCAGCATTGATCACAGAGATGTGTCTTTTGATGTTTAACATGATTTTTTCTGATGCCTTATGTGGGGAAATTTCTTTATACTGGGTCTTCACTTTTGGGAAGTGGGGTAAAAACCTTTTTGACAAAGTGATGCATTTGTTGCCAGCAATCACGGCCAGTTTTATAAACCACACCTTGTTTCTTTTTTGCGAGGGGGAAGTCAGATATGTCGCCTAGTGAGGCTAATTTAGGTGATCTCAAACCCAGTAATCTCTTTAAGGATCTCCAATATCGAACCCCAGTAATGTTTTAATTTATTACATTTGCAGAACATGTGAAAAAGGTGACCTGTCTCTATTTTATATCAATTTAATATTGATTGATTAATCTTATGGAGTCTGTCTGGTGTGAAGTAGGTTCTGTGGATTCTATTAAACTGCGAGAGCTTATGGCGGCTGTTTTACGAGCAGTGCCTTCTCCCAGAGGGATTCCCACCCCGCATCATCAAAAGTACAGTCCAGATCTTGCTCCCATTTGGTCCGAGTGTTTAGGGGTTTGGTTTCTGTGAAAGCCAGAATTCTGTTCCTCAGGGGTGTTTGATATCTTTTATCTTTTTTTTTTTATCAGAAAATAATTCAACATGTTTGTCAGACTTTAGAGGATAATTTTGGTTTATTACAACATGGGTCTTAGTGTTGTATTTCATGCTCAAACACAATGCACTTCTATTGAGGATCCACAGAGTTCTTTAATTTAAAACATGGAGGGAGTAGGGGAAAAGCTAAACCATCAGCGACTGAAGGTTTGAACAGTCAGACCAGTTTGTTTTATGAGAACACAGCCAAAAAGGATTAGGATTAGGGGACAAAATGAGCCCTAAGACTCTGTACCATGCCATCAAATACTCTACTTGTCTTCTGCATCAGTTTAGATGCATTTCCCATAAATTCTTCTTTATCCTGACAGATTTGGTAACTTTGGGATCTCCACTAGAATTTGAAATATATTTCCAAAGGTTTGGCTGCACAGTATGAGTTTGTACTGTGAGGTTCAAGAGGCTATTAAAATACCTTTCGATACATGAATAATTTCATCATCACCACTAGCAGTAGAGGTTGAAGAATTATCTCCCTGTTGATGGCTTCACCTTAAATAGAAATACACTGTAAACTGCTCTCTCCAGATTTTATTGCTGTAGAGTTTAACAGTAGCGACTCTTGCTCTGTCTTGTTAGTGTTTTTGTGTCTCCAGATGTTCAGGCTTTCATTCTTAATTTATGTGTAATCACATAAAGCTGAATACTTCAAACTGCTTTGGGGAAATGTACTTGGGTTACGCTGGAGAGACTTTTTTGACTTTGAGATCTTGGAGGGTCTCAGTGACAGATTCCAGCTTCTTAATAGGAGACATAAAAACCCTATAGCCACATAATGAATGCTGTGATAAAGAGGGCTGACATTACATTGGAAGAGCTAATACAGCAGAAGGCATATGGAGTGCTGAGACCATTTCCAAAGCCCAGCTCGTTTTCCAAACGGCATACCTTGCGGGACATTACTTAATGAAGGTTTAATTAAAATCTCATAAACGCACCTCTCATCTAGATGAGCTGTGAATAGCTCCAAGATAATAGAATGACCCTTTGGCAAGGTCTTAGCGTATGCCCTTACTATGTTGGGAACGCAGTGCACGGTAAGATAAAACCCATGACTTTCAGATGTATAGATAGATGATGGACGTACGATGTACCTTATTCAGATTTAGAGTTGACTGAATTAAAGTTGCTATGGATACCTTTCAAAACATCAAAGGAACAACCTCAAACACCAGCAGGGGAGAAAAGTTGACTGAATATTTCAGTTCAATTGCATGAGGTTCATGTGCATTACTTCTTCTGTCTTTTGGCCTAGACAGGGATTTCAAGTGCTCATTGTTGCTGCTTAGCAACATTGTTGCTGTACTTGAAAATGGCAGCCAGTAAAACTTCATTGTTTTGGAGCAACACACACTGTGTCCCATCAGCTGACACCTACAACACACAGCCCGGTATCCTGGGAATTACATCCATTTAGATGATTCTGTAGACACGCTGCTAACGTTCATTGTCAGTGCAGTAAGTAACAAGTAACAAGTAGCGGAGCATGAGAGTATGAGAGACCAGAGCGGTGGATGGGTGTGTAGTGAGTCGCATCACAGTACTGCAATTAACTCAACCGCAACAGTGGGGCCAGCCCTATTACCTGGGATGTCCCTGACTGACTGACTGACTTACTGACTGACTTACTGACAGACTGATTGATCATATTTCCACCACTGGTCAGCAGAGTGCCTTGTCACTGAGTTGGAGTTTCTGGATCAAACAGGTTCTATCAGGGAGGGGGTTTACATCTGCAGTATTGACAAGTCAGCTCACAAAGTCTCTAGATTTAGAGACTTTGTTTCAAACAGACTGGGTATACACTTTGGTCATGACTGCTTGGGAGCTGCAGGGAAGAGGAGGGGCGCTTCCAATACACTGAGCCTTGGGAGGGAGAGACAGAAGTCATCGGGCTTCATACTAATGACTATTGCCAACTCTACATATCAGGGAGTCAGGGAGGGAGAGGGAGTTAGACATAAAGACCTGCCTCTGTTACATTCTGGAGTTGAAGGAAATAAAGACGAAAGTGGTGGGAATCCAGACGGAGGCTGTGCTCTGTGTGAGAGACTGAATAAGAAAGATAGTCTGTCTCGGGCCCCGGTGGTTCACCTGGTGGAGTGAGTGACATTTGGGCTTAATCCGCTCTAGTCCACATGTTGGCAAGATACTGAACCCCAAATTGTCTTTGATGGCTGTTCCATCAGTGTATCAGTGTTTGTGCATAGTCCCTTTTGTGTTTTCAGTGTGTCTTTGTTCAGTTATATGCGTCAGTATGTAAGCTAAGTCAGTGCTTCCTGAGTCTAGTTCTGTTAAGTTGACTGAAGGCCTCACAACTTTGTTACATATTTCATAAATTGTTATATTCTTCGTTTTGGGTAAATAAAGACCTTTGAAAATGTACCTATGACTCTTGGCTGACAGCAACACATGTAAACAACTGAGAGCAACACTATGAATATCTTTGTTTACGCACTGTCGACCCCCATTCGTATGATTCAGATAATGTGAGTCTAACAGTGTGTATGGTCAAGCAGGCTCCTGTATCGAGTACAGGTGTTTCTGTAATTTGTCCTTTTGCAAATATTGGCAGAAGGGGATGAATTTGCACGTCTGAGGTGTGAGCGTGTGTGAGGATGTATGTTACCTGATCTGCCAAGGAGGTGGACAGCATACTCATTAGTTCTCTCTCTGCAGTCAACCTCCACATCTGCTCCCATCTCAGCTTCCGCAGCCGATCCAGGAGAAGCAAAATCACCCCTGGAAAGCACACACACGCACACGCACACGCACACGCACAAGCACACACACACACACACGCACATACACACGCACACATTCAGACAGAGATATGGTAGCTTAAGAAACAGACAGATCAGTATCTTGCTGCCTGGTAAAGGTGATAAAGTCCCATCATGAGGCTGTGAATCACAGCCTTGTGTTTTCTGAGATAAAGCTGTAGACTTTAAGCTTGGAGACAGGCTGGCAGTCGAAGGACAAAACATGTTAAAATCCTCCTAGAAACACAAATTATTCTTAGAAGCTCACGTGTTTCTCCCCCAAGAAACAGGAAAAATCTAAAACAAAAACCTTTTCTTCCCAGTTCCCTGGCTAATAAAGAATGTTCCCGGTTGCTACAAATAAAGTCGAGCAGCCAATGCTCAGAGGGAGAGACACGGTGAATAATTTTTTTGGATTGAAACAAACACGCCATCTTTCACACCCTGCCGTGCCCCATCTGTTGCCACGGCCGTCGCCACAAAGTCGACCAACCGTGGCTGAGATGGAGGTTTTCTGTCAAGTCGCTGTTCTGTGTAAATGCAACATATGCTTTTGTGTTCACGAGATATGCTGTTCAGTCAGACTGATGGCGAGTTTACGACACAGACGCGTTCAAGTGAGTTTTCCACCGCTGCCGCTGAAATGCGTCTGCTGTGAAATTCATGGGGCTGCTGCTGTGGGCCATCCAGGCTGTTTTGGGTTCTACTCAACAGAAAGATTATCCTCCTGCTCCAAACAGCACAGACAGAGAGAGAGGGGGAGAGAGAGAGAGAGAGCTATCTGCCTCCTGAAGGAAAAGACCTGCAGGGTTTGATGGAGGGAAAAAAAATATATAGGCGGGGGAAAATAATAACAAGGTGTAATGGGAATCCAATCAATTCCACTATCAGCTGCTCTGAGGTTGTGTGAAATTATACCCCACACCTTTTTGAAAATGATTTTCCATACAACTTTAACAGGCCTGGTGGATGCCTGCATATTTCATCAAATGTTCTCCGGTCTTGCAAGGAAGGAAACTGCCTCACTGTACCCTCCTTAGCTGCACTGTTACGCTTTAAAACATGGAGACCGAAGATGTTAGGAGGAAGAAAGGAACAGAAAATAAAAATGCATTCAAATATTTCACTAAAATGTATCTACTGTGGTGTAACACACCAAATAATCACAGAGGATAAAACCTTCTACATGCATACATACATACATGCGCAGTATGAGAATGAATTGTCACAGCAGGAGTGGGCAGTATGGATAAAATCATCTCTCATAGTTTGTGTCATTTTAATATAGAACACTTTCTGCAAAAATCAGTGGAGGAATTATTTAGAGATAACCAGGATCATCTGAAATTATGTTATTGCCATTAAATCGGCTGACATTGATATATTCTTGTTTTTAAGATGGGTTGTTAAGTCACCACAATCCAACATCTTCCAAACGTCTCACACCAACGCCATCTTGACATAGAATACTGACACCCAACGTTAGCTAAACGCCACAATGTCAAATAGCCACTGTTGGGTAAAATTTAACATCCGTCCGACATCAGCTGCATTAGAGTCTTGATGTTACGGTGATGTCTGGTGCCAGCTGGGAGAAGAAGAATCAGTGTATCTTCCATTTTGTGCTGGTAGGAAATGATGCGTCACATGAGCTGAGACAATCAAAGACAACTTCAGATGGAACATCACAAAGAAGCTGTGTGTTTTCTAAATGATTTAAATACAGCAGCTGCAGAGTCGTGGTTCCAATGTCCACTGGGAGATTTGTGTTTTACAGATGAAAACATGTTTGCAGCTTATTCATGATTGATGGCTGTTTTCTTTGCTGGTTTGAATGACTGTATGCAGCATGTTGTCTGATCTGTATTTTGTATCGGTATTTATTGAATTACAGAGAATATTACATGAGAAAACTAACAAGAGCTTTTGTTTTGCTGTGTTAATTTAAACCTGTGATATCACACAACACTGACATATCATCACCTTTTAAGCTGATATGACAAACTTGATAGCAAAGCACTTACGGAGCAACATAGTCATTTGGAGTAGTGTTTGTGTACTCCTGGTGAAGGTTAGTCCAGAATTCACTCTCTTTTAGCTCTACTGTCGGTCTCCACCAACTCCAAAGAAGTGTTGACCAGCGGCTGTCTAACTGTGTCTGCCTGCCGTCTGATGCTGGGCTTTTAGAAGGAAAACGTCTAAATACACAAACTTTGATGATCTATCACACAAATTTGACCTTCCTCGGTCCAGCGTATTTCGCTATTTTCAAGTCCGCCACTTCCTTCAGTGGCATGATCCCAACTTTCCAAACATACCCTCAGTTTCAGGCTTAGATGAGATTCTAGAGATTCCCTTTAATTCAAAGGGGCCAGTTTCAAGAATAAATGACCTTATAGCTTCTATTAGAAATGTAACCCTCACAAAGATGAAGGCAGACGTGGGTGGGCGAGCTGGGGGAGGACATAGGAGAGGAGAGCGACTGTGCTCTTCAAAGGGTGAATGACAGCACCTCTTGTGCAAAACTAAGTATTATATAATTTAAAGTTGTAAATAGAGCTCACTTTTCCAAAGCTAGACTAGCTAAAATATACCCTGATTCAGACAAAAGTTGTGCTATAATACCCCTGTTTACTTAACCCACATGTTTTGGTCATGCCCTGCTCTGGCAACTTATTGCTCTGTGATCTTTAAAACACTATCAGAAGCACTAAATATAGATTTCCAACCCAATGCAACTGCAGCTATATTTGGTATTACAGCTGGTAAACATAAAGAAAAAACAAAAAGACATCATTGCTTTTACCACACTGCTTGCACGTAGAAGAATACTATTACATTGGAAATCAACAAATCCACCCAAAGTGTCTTTGTTGTTAAGCAATCTGATGCAAATTATACAGTTAGAGAAGATTAAGTTCTCACTTAGGGGTTATAGGGACAAATTCTCTTCAGTCTGGGGTCCAGTTTTGACATATTTAGGCAAACTAAAAACTATGCCCATTACTCCTTAGTAGCTTTTTCCATTTCAGGACAGTTACCATATTTTTCACTTTTATTTTTGCTTGTCAGTTTGTATATATTACAGGGACCAGATATGGAATCATCCAGGTGATCTGTTTCTTTTTCTATGCCCCTCCAAGTAATTATAAAGGTACTTGGAGACATGCTTCTTACGCATGCATACTGTATTCATTATGTATTTAATACACCATTTACATCCAGCTTGTGTGCATTGGGTGGGGCTGGTGGGTAAAAAGGATATTTGTTGTTTATTATTTGAAAAAATAAATAAATACACAAATGTATTTGGTGTAAACATTTTAGATGTGATGCTGTATACATGGGGGACACCCCTTTTGAAGGGTGAGACAATAATGATAAGAAAGTGATAGGAAAACTTCTGGCAGAAAGTACGAGTCACGAGGAAAGAGAGCCGTCCTCCGATGGATGGATAGGAATAATAAAATCTATGTTATGGAAAGGCTGTCATTTTCCCTCAAGGGCCACAAAGAAAAAAATGACCTGATCTGGACCAGATGGACTGAGTACATTAACCCTATATGGTCAGTTGATTTGCCAGGATGAATGAGTGAGGGTTCACCGTGTATTATTTTATTGCATCTTACAGCTCGCTCTTTATTTCTTTTCCCCCCTCAACTCCTGGTAATATTTGAGCAGAAAGATTTCCATGTTCAAATGTAAATAATTAATGTCATTGTTATAAAAGAAAGCCAGTGGAAGAGCCAGACTGTGAAGTGCTTATCAAATATACTGCATAGCTGTCATTTAAAATTTTAATAAAAATGTTAATTTTTATAAAAAATATCCATTAGAGCCACATTAAAGTTGAATATTTACATCACAGCAGAACAGATCAGATGTGTAAAGATACATTCTGCTTGAGTCTCTCTACCGTTCTTATACGTTCTGGTATCAGTCCACAAACAGCAGCCTCAAAAACCCGGTGTTTTTACCACACACACTGATATTCTTTAATATCATTCACTGACATGATAAATGTGTCTCTGTTTTCATCATGAACACAAACAAGACTGAAACCCTCATCGTGCTAACACCATATGATCATGCACTCACCGGTGTTGAAGCCCCTGCCCAGAGCCGGCCACGGTCGATGGTTCTTCCACAGGTTCCCCAGGTACCAGTCACTCTGGTTCTCCACCAGACCCAGGACCTGTTGACCTGAACACAGCAGACACAACATCATTACTGCTTCTTCACATTCACTTATTTTCTTTGCAGCTTTCACTTCTTTCATTCTAATTCACTGTAGACTTTATTTCATTATCCACCTTCTTTTTGTCTATTAATAGTCGACGGATAGAACTTCTTAAAATGTGGCAGAAACATTCACCTGGACTGAAGGATGAACAGATTTGATTTTGGTGGTCAAAGGTCAAAGGTCAAGGTCAGTGTGACCTCACAAAACACTTTTTAGTTATTAGTCAAGACTTCACAGTAATTATGACAACATTACACACAAATGGTTCATATTTTCTATGACGGGATAAACAGGGATGTAACCTGAAACTAGTCTGAGTGGAGGAGGCAGAGGACCACCAGGAGGTGATTCTAGTTTTTATGATGTTGGTGTTCACACTTCAACCTGGCTCATCTAGTTTTGCATCAGCTGTTGATTTTCTGTTCATATTCAAGACACTTTCACATACAGTGAAAACCCAGAGAAAGGCTGTGGACTTGTTGCTTGAAATGAAATGTAAGCATTTGGACAAAAAACTATTATAATCTCCCCAATTTTATCAGTCATTCCTGTCTTGAGAGAAAGAGAGGATGAAAAACAGAAATGCAACTGGATATAGTAGCAAAACTAAAATGTTAACCATCAGGAGAAACAACTGGCATACGGTACTGTAAAACATACAAAGGAGTATTAGGGCCATAGATGAGAAAAAAAATATGAGGAGGAAGATTTTTCTATTTATTTTGCATTTAGAGAATAAAGTCAAAATGTCAAGAATAAAGTCAACTATCTGTCATTTTTTGTGCCGCTGTCAGCGTGCAGTCGCTCCGGGTATCCTCACAAGCGTGCAATGGATGTGATGAAGTAGTCTGCTATTACTTTGGGGTTGTTGTTTGTTCTGTAGGCCTCCATCCACACTACATAGCAACTAAACCATCAATACAACCATTGATAGCAATGCTGTACGGCTTCAGCTTATCGTACGAATCGATGATGACACGGTACGTTGGGACCTTTGTTGTGGTAATGCCTGCGTCTCAGACGCCGCGCCCGCCTGAGCTCCACGCCTTCAGGATCAAACAACTTCATCAGTTGTCTTATTGTGTCTTGTGAACAACGAATCCCCTCTGAATTGCAAGCAGGTGTGACCAACAATATCCTTGCATTTGTCCATTACCCGCTATTTCAGTTTGCACGAATGCGGCCACCTCTTCCCAGCTTGTGTGGTTTTTCCTTCTGAACAGACGCAGTTTTCGGCACAATCTCTTCAGTCCTAATGCTGACGACTACACTGTATTTATGAGCCAAAGTATTTCTTTGTTGCTAAAGCCGATTCTGAAGTACAATTTCATCAGTTCATCCATACAAGGCATTTTATAGAGGCAGTCATACGCGCTGTTTGATATCGTCTCAAAAGGAAATGTCAAGTTTATTCTCGACATTTCAACTTTATTCTCGAAAGGCAAAATTAAAATTAAAATCTTCCTCTTCTGACTCAGTTCGACTTTATTCTCAACATTTCGACTTTTATCCTCTTGCCTTCTGTGTAGACACAGCATAAAAGTCATAAAAGTCCAGGAATGAAGGGAACTCTGTTCACAATATTCTCACAACCTCTCCTTCTTTTCCCGAGTCACAGTGTTAAATAATGATCAGAAGTGTTTGTGCAGAACATGATGTCACGATGAAGCTGACCTTTGACCCTTTTGTAATCACTTCATCATTTTCTACATAGACATTTGTGTTAAACTGTGTCATAATTAGTTCTGGCCAAGAATGTGAGGTCACAGCGACCTTGACCTTTGGCCTTTGCCAACTAAAATCTAAATCAGTTCATCCTTGAGTTTAAGTCGACATTTGTGCCTGATGTAATGAATTTCCCCTCCAGGTGTTGCTGATATATGTCATTCTCAGGAACGAGAGGGATGTGAAGGCCGGCAAAATCCAATCAGTTCATCTTTGAATCCAAGTGAACGTTTATATCAAATTAGAAAAAGTTCCCTCGAGGCGTCACTGAGATATGACGTTGACGAGAAGGGAACGGACCTCCTGTCCGTACAACCCACAAACTAGGCCTCCGGCTGTGGCTGTGGCTGGTGTGGAAGCCGTATTATAAGCTCAATAAAAACATTATTTGTTGCTGCTGGTTTCATCCGGAGATAAGAAGATAATTGAGTCATGATCTCCTGATAACCGGCTGTTCTTGGCCTCCCGACAGTTTGAATTGTTGTGCAGACAGAAATGGAGGTTGGAGCGGATCGGGGTTAACTAGTTCAACACAGAGCCAGCAGAAACCTAATCCACACATACAGTGGGCTTTTACATCTGAGTCAACGACAGACCGGGAGAGAACACGTCATGGGAGAAGGTGCAAACTGAATTCAATACTCATATGAGTTTAAAGTTTGTGAGCCACCAGACAATAGGTGTAAAGAGGAGGTGGAATGAAATAAAGAGCAAGGATCCAGAGGATGGAGGGATGAGAAGGGAGGGGTGTACGTGGGCTTCAGGGTGACAGATTATAGAAGGCACGCTGGGCAGAGATAAAGGTCGGGGGGGGGGGGATAGACATTAGGGAGGAGACAGGAACCTGGAGAGCAGGCATGGGTGTAGCGGTGGCAGCTTTAATGAAGGCTGTAAGGAAGATTAATGAGAGCTTATTGGAGCAGGCAGCCTTTAGAAAGGCTGCAAAACAAAGAACGAAGATCTGCCATCAAGGTGACGACGGAGAGGGACAATTAGAGCGAAAAAACAAAACACTGCTGCTTCTGCTGGGACAGAGCTCACAGGTGATTCTACTTCAGTTTGGCCTCATCAGAAAAATGCTTGTCAGCTTGATCTCATTGTCAGCACTCACTGTCTGTTTCTATTCTACTTCACATCTTTAGAAAGGGTTCATCATTGATTTTACTGCTATTTACAAATAACCCTGTGTGATTAATTCTGGTTAATGACATTTAATTGTGCTGGAATTCAGTGAAAAAGCACAATGTGACTGTATTTAACTCAATTTTACAAACTAACTTCATCTCGGTTATTCTTTATACAGATTTGGTTCTATCGGTTGGGATAACATTGCACTGAATAAAGTTTACACAACAAAGTCACAACAGTCAGACGATCAGACAGTTCAGAAACAAACCAGCAGTTTATCCAGATTATAAAAAACACTTTATTTGAACTCAAACAAAAAAAAAAAACAAAACTGCACCGGTCACCCATAGAACTGACGGCCAAAACCATTTCACCTCTTTTCTCTCCCCGGTGTTATTTTTTTCTTTTGCAGTTAAACACTTGAAATTAAGCATTATGTCCATTCTACCATTTGTATCACTGCTTATACATACATCACAATTAAAACTATTTGAAAGAAAACAATGGGCCTAAAATGCTCCATAGAGCTGATGAGAACTGTGCAACTGATGATAATAAATAAAAACTACAAAAACGTTCACAAAGCCACAAGAATGAGACAGACGGATGCACAATGGACCTGGACAATGTCTCCGGCCCTGGCTGTCACCGGCATGGAGACATAACATAATAATAATAATGATAATGATAATAATAATAATAAGGAGAAGAAGAAGAAGAAGAAGAAGAAGAAGAAGAAGAAGAAGAAGAAGAAGAAGAAGAAGAAGAAGAAAGTTTCAGACCAGCAAAATGAACAGAAACATTTACTTTGACAGACGACTAAATCCAGACATTCACAATGACAAAAAAGTGATGTGCATCTGACCGTCAATCATTCACATGCCGATCTCTCAAAAACAGTCATAAAGTCAGTTTCCAAGTCAAAGAGCCATGACAGGCAAAAGAAAGGAAACAAAATCAATTCAATACAGCTCGACTCCATCTGTCTGTTCTGCTCTTGAATAACATCTCTGGAAAATATTCCATCAAAACGAACGGAATCCTCTGGACCAGCTTTTTAATCTTAAACGCATTCATTTACATTATGCTGTTTAGTTCCTATTGATTTTGTAATTTACCAACTAGCTACCTGGCCTGTGAACCGCTGAAGGATTTAAGCCAATACCAGCTATTTAGCTACTGTAGTCTGGGAAGAATGCGTTGCAGAGTGGTCATAATAGTATGTATCCATGTCCTACTCAGCAAAATCCTCACACAGCGAACCTCAGGCCACCCACAGTCTATTTCCCAGCGTGCTGGGGGGCTGATGGGGGAGTTCTTAAATTAGCTGTGGAGAGGTACCAGGAGATCAGTGGGAATTTTTTACTGCTGAGTCAGTGTTGCTGATATAAGTAAAGATGAATGCCAGGGTCAGCAGGTCCAACATACACTTTTCACTCCAACACCTGATCCTCCTACTGCAACTCACAGGGAGCGTTATTCAACATTTAACATGTGATCACTGACACATCTCTTTAAGCGTCCAAACCAGAGGACTGCAGACTGTTTCAGACTGAGGCTGGATAAGTGGAATTGTGTTCTGATTAAATGATATTGTTTTGTTGTTTTCCAAATTCATGATTCCAATTAAATTGAAATTAAAAACTAAGGGTTCATGTTAGGGTTGTGAGTACTTTGGTCTAATATAATACATAGCAGAGGAACACAGTTCATTGCAGTAAACATTAATTTAATCATTATATATTATTTTACATAGTGTCATATATTGTGTAAACCATATTGACCCTTTTTGAAATCAGTTGATTTTACTGATTCTACTTTCTGCTGTCTTTGTCAAGCACTTTGTGACAGTTTTTGAAAGTGCTCTATACATTTTGTTACGCAGAGATTTTTTATAGATTATTCTGTATGTATATTTATATATATAAAACATAGTTTCACACACTTATACATGATTTATACCGTGAGTGAGTTTCTTCAAGCCAGTTTATAGAGGTGCATCTTTCAGTCGGCCCTAAAAGTTTTCGGAAGCTCAGATGTACCTTTAAGTGTTTCTGGTGGATAGTTTAACATTTTGCTTCCGCAGAGGAAACAATTTCCCAGGGAC